GCCCAAAGACTCGAGCTCGCTGCTTTGTCTTGGCTGTGCACAGGTTGATGTCCATCTGCCCTTGAAGGGCTGGAGCCAAGGCCACTGTGCTGGCCGCGGAGGTAGGTCGGGCCCTGCGTGAGAGGCGTGGTCTCGATGCTGCAATCAGAGCAGGAAGCGAGCAGAGATGGGGCTGCCCACGACTGGGCAGGAGACCCTGAGCCGCAGCCTCTTTCTGCAGGGGCCACTGACCACGCGAGGATGCAGCTTCGCACACTTGCAGCAGTCAGAAGAGTGATGGAGCTTTACCTGCTCTAGAGAGTGAGGCCCGCGGCAATGGGCTCTAGACCAGGGGTGGAGCATGGACAGCATCCTGGAAGCCCTTGCGCCCCTTCAGGGCTCTGGCCTCCACGCAAGCTGAGCAGTGTTCAATGCAGGAGAGGATTTCTGATGCTTCAAGACTGTATATAAATAGAGTCCTGCAGTGGGTAGTCTTGAGTTTGGCTTCCCCCATCCCCCAAAAAGTGTGTCTGAGCTCTCTGTGGCAGTAAGTGTCACCATCTTTCATCACTGCATAATATCCGTGAGTACGCTGCTGGGCGCTGCGATTGGCGCTGTTTCTGCTCAGCGTGGTCAGGAGCCATGGAGCCACGAGTGTCCCTGTACAGGCTTTGGTGCACATGTCAACGAACTTCTGATGGTTTCATCCCACAGACCAGACCAGCTGCACCATGAGGGGTGTGTTTGTAGAATTTTAGTGGATTTCACAGAGGAGTTCTTAAGTTACGCATGGAGTTATGCTCCTACCAGCAGCGTTTCAAGTTCTAGTTGTTCTACATCCTCACTAAGTCCAGTAAAGTCTGTCCATTCTTAGGAGTCTGAGAGGAAAGTCATTGCGGTTTTAATCTGAATTTCCTTGGTGACCAACAGTGCTTAGCAACTTCGGGTGTGTGGAGGGGCACCCTGAGCTGAGCGGAGTGCAGGCCTCTCCACTGAGCTGGTCGCCAGCCCTTTTTAAAATTTTTATTTTGAGTTGGGGTCTTGTTATGTACCTAAGATCCTCTTGCCCCAGCCTCCCAGAGCACTCAGATTACAGATGTGCACCGCCACACCAGGCACACTTAGTACCTTTTATTATGCTTATTGGCCAAAGTTTATTTGTAGATTATTTGGCCATTTCATGTAAACAATCATGCTACTTACAAACAACGATGGCCTTTGTTCTCAAAAAATCAAACAGACTTTAAATTCGATTTTCTTTGGCCCTCCAGTGTAATATTTAACATAAGCAGTGATTGCAGATACCATCGTGTCTTTCAACCTCAGGGGAAAACTCGCTATTTCACTACGAACACTTACTGTGGACCTTAGAAAAGACAGTTTTTACTAGTTAAGGATGTTCCCTTCCATTTTTTTCTTTCTTTCTTTTTTTGGCAGGCTCAGGCTGCCTTAAGGGCGGGTCTGGTAAGGCATGGGGACCTGGGGATCGAACCTCAGTCCCCTGAGCCAGCCTGGGGACCCAGCCGGCTCCTTTCATTTCTAGTTTGTTAAGAATGCAAAAAATCATGAACGTAAGATTGAATTTCATCAGTACTTTTTCTATATCTGTCTAGTTACGACACAGCTTCTTAAATTTATTTGATCCATGGGGTGAAATATATTGCTTTTTAAATATTGAGTCAGCTGTGTCTTTCTAGCATAAGTAAACTTGGCAAACATCTATTCTTTTATATATTATGAGATTTGATTTCCTTATATCTTTATTTGACTTAACCAAATATTTGCGGTTTCACTCACTCGTGCGAGAGCTTGGTGCACACCATTTGCTTCTTTGCAGGGTTTCCTGCATTGGTAAGTTATGCGTCAGGTTATGCGGGAGTCAGAAAATGAATTCAGAAGTGACTTTGTCTTATCTGTTTTTGGAATTGCTTGTAAAAGACTGATTTTAATTCTTGAAATATTTAGGTAATTTATTGATGGATTCTATTTGGGCTGTAAGCTTTCTTTGGGATAGGACATTAATTACATTTTTTGTGTTTAATGGATGTGTTAAACGTTTGAATTTTGCTTTTTTTCCAGGTGTCAATTTTGGTAAATTAGTGTTTTAAAAAAGAATTTGTCCCATTCACCTGAATTAATCAAGTTTATGGCTCTAGCATTCTCCTTGGTGTCTTTTAGCTCTTTATGTATGCCTTTAAGACCTTTGAGATACACAGAGATCCCTCTTTTATTTTTTTGTATTGTGCTGTGGTTTTTGTTGTTGTTGTGTGTGGTGTTTTTGTTTTTGTTGTTTGTTCATTTTCTATCTTTAAAGTCTTCCTTGGGGCTTTATCCATTTTAATCACTTTTCCCCAGTGGACTGAACTTGGGCTTTTCAGAATGGTTTTTGATTCCCCATCACAAAAGTGGGAAAAATAGGGGGCAGCGATCCACTCTGAACTGCACTCGGCTTTGTAAACCGTCTTCCCAGTGCAGGTGCCCCGGAGTCCGCGCTGCCGCTGCTTCGAGCCCGAGATCTGGAGCAGATTCCAGGAGCCCAGAGCCCGCCCTCCCCTAAAGGCGGCCTCGTTGCCAACTCCCCGCGGCCCTTCCCCTCGCTGTGGCCGCCGTCCACCTTCTTAGAGCTCAGCTTGCCCGTCTCTTTCAAGCTCTAAACGCCAGCCTCGTTCCCAGCCCCACCCTTAGGCTCTGTCACCCGAGTCTGTCTCGCCAAGTGCAGACAGCTGTGCTTGTGCTTTCAGCAACCGTGTGTAGAAATATTTTATTTTGGGGTGACTTATTCAATTCATGGATATTTACAACTTGGTTTTCAAGCACTTGGGGATTTTTAAACGTGGTTTTGTTGTCATTGTGATTGGTTTTTAGGTTAATCCTGCTGTAGTCTGAGAGCAAACTTCATTTGATTTAGACCCCTGCGGTGGCCGTGCCTCGGTCACAGCCCAGATGTGTTTCACGTTTAGTTTTGTTAATTTTTGTTTTGTAACTATTTGGGGCTCTTTACGTTGTGTTAATGTATCTCTTTATCGAAAGTCACTCTTAACCAGAGCAAGGCAGTGTTCTGCGCCTCACATCGGTTCTATCTGCCCCGTGCAGCGACACAGTGTGCTTCTTCCCAGGGCTGCTTCCCGCCCCTCGCCTGCAGCACTTCTTCACTCGGACGTAAGCCCGTCCAGGTGCCGTGTACTTGGGCCTCTAAAGCCCCTGCTGACGGCTCGCCTTTTGTCGGGCGTGGCTGCTGCAGCACAGCTTTGCTAGTTCGTTCGCATCCTCTACCTTGCGCCGCCGCTCGTGCTTGTCCGCCGCTGCTGTCTTCTCAGCCCTGCTTGCAGGGCCGCCCTGCAGGGCGCTGTGCACACCCTCCCCCTCCTGTTTCCTTCCCATTCGCCAAGATGTGTCTCACTGCTCCATGTTCCTTCCCCTGGTTCTTCTTTACACTTCCGTTTTCTCATGGAAGAGGAGCCACGAGGCATTTGCGCATCGGTACCCAGTTTATTCCTCTTAGCATCATGGCCGCAAGTGCCTCTGTTTCCTACAAGTGACCCAAGTTTGTCCTTCTTTGTGACAGAGTGTAAATGCCACATTTTCTCTGTCTGTTCATCTGTGGCGGCCATGTGGGCCTCTTCTAAGCCTCTTCTTGTGCGCTGAGCGCTGTAGACATGGGTAGGCTGTAGGGCTGCAGCAGGACTTCTTTCACTCTTTGGGGAAGACACCCAGAGGGAGCGGCTGCGCCAAGCAGAGCTGCTCGTTTTACATTTTTTCAAATGTGTTTAGTGCAGGTCAACAGGGTCGCACTACACATATCAGACTTGTAGTAATTCTCCTGTTTGCAGCCTCCCAAGCGCTGGGATTGCAGGTGTGCACCACCACGCCCAGTCTCAATCGCTGTCTCAGCGCACCCTGGGATCAAACCCCAGCTGTATTTCAGGTTTTTTTTCAGACAGGTTCTAACAATGTAGTTCAGGCTGGCCTTGAACTCACTCCAGAGCCCATGCTGGCCTCAACTCAAGCGATTCTCCTGCCTCAGCCTCCCGAGTGCTGGGATTATAGGTTTGCACCACCACAACTCTCAATTTTAGAATTCTTTATATAGCAGCAACGGATAGTACTTGTATCTGCAATACTTATTTCAAAGTCTAAGACAGTGGGGCCATTTTCACTGTGCTTTTCAGCATCCTCTTGGGTTTTGTTGTGTCTTCCTTGTTTTGGGTGCACGCCAAGCTTTGTGCAGAAGCAGTTATGGGCTTCCGGAGGTGTCCGGCACCTGCGGAGAATTTCCCTCTGCCCCCGACAGGTGCTGTAGACGGCAGACAGGCAGAAGGGCGACCTTGATGGAGTGGGCAGGGTTTATCCTCGCTCTGAGGAAACAGCAGTCCCAGCAGCACCTGCAAGGGAGCGCGGTGCTGTCCTCTGACAGCTTTGCGACTGCACTGCGGTCACTGCAGTGGGAAGCTCTCCCGGCAGCCCGGACCCTGACTGGGTCCTTCCCACAGATGCGCCCTGGAACCCTTCACTCCACCCCTCGCCCCGGTGCTGGTTCCTTCAGTTTGACCCTCCTCCTCGGAGCCCTGAAAGCTCCCCTCTGCCTTTCCAGCCTTCCCGACCTCTGTTCCCCACCATGGACCTTCAGCCTGTGACGACCACTTGCTGTGGACCCCAGCTTCCTGGGGGCTGCTGGCGGTCACTGTGCACCTGACCCCCAGCTGGGTGTCCTCAGCCCTGGAAATCTGTCTCCTTCCCCAGCACAGCCACTCCACTGAGGGTCATGGCGCCCCGACCCCCAGGTTGCCGCCCCCAAGTCCTGCCGCCCCCCAAGACCCTCCCACAGCGCTTCCCTGCGCTCAGCCAGCAGGCCCAAGGGTCGCCAAGCCGCACTTATACCCAGGCTCGGTTGCTCTGTCCCAGCTAGCAGCAGCAGTCGCCTCCCCACTTAGCACATTTCATTACATTTGTATGGAACTGAGAGGATGAAGTCACATTGACAAGCAGTTTAAAATTGACCAGGAAATTGGCTCGCTGTCGCGATGCTGCGGGAGGAGGTGGGGCTACCACCTTGCCCAAGCACGAAACTGGAACCAAAGCCCTCAAGAGACCGCGCTGGAGATTCGCTAAAGCCCAGAATGTCCGTGCAGCTCCGAGTGCCGAGAGGCGGGGAGAAGACGTTGGCGAGGCGCGAGCTCCTGGCTCAGCGCTCCAGCGCAGCCGGGCCAGCGCTCTGTGCGGGGGCCACCACGCAGCCGGGCCGGGCTGGCCAGCGGCCTGCGCGTGTGCCCGGAGGCGAGCAGCGGCCGGGCGGGTTGCCCTCTTTCTTCCTTTGCTGCATGGACATTCGGTTGTGTCTACAGGACACGGCTTGTCTTTAAAATATACTTGGAAAAAACCCTATAGTTGGCAGGCTCCGCTTACGTTCTGTGGCGAATGTTTTTTTTACTTCAGTTGTTCGAGCTCTGTTTTTATATTCTTAAAAATTTCAGGACCGGCCAAATAGCTCAGCGGATTAAAGCTCCTGTTTAAGCAGATGCAGGGACCAGGGTTCAATCCCTGGCAGGCCGTGCCAGCCCCGCCCCCCGGGGTACGCTGAAATGGAGATTGAGACTAGGCGTGGGGGCCTGCACGCCTGTAATCCCATCTCTTTGGGAGGCTGAACACAGGGATGGAGTCCAATCTACCTAGTGAGACCCTGTAGACCCTGTAGATCCTTACTAAAATACAAAATAATAATAATCATAATGAATAAAAAATTTCATTGGGGCTGGGAAGATAGCTCAGGGGCACAAGTGCCTGCCTGGCTTGAGCAAGGTCCTGAGTTCGAATCCTGGTACAAACAAACAAAAAAAGAATTTCATAGATTTTTTTTTCTCATTGAAAATATTTTGAAGGGCCAGGGAGATAGCTCGGTAGAATAAGTGCTTGCCTGGCAAATGCAAGGTCCTGAATTCAATCATATATATATATATATATATATATATAACAAAAAGATCTCTGGACAAAGCAGTTTCCTCAGCAAAAGACAGAGGCAGACTGGTTTCAGTCAACTGTGACAGATCCTCTTAGTTAGGAGACCTTTAAAAGAATAAATTATGTTTGTGACAGGGACCCAGATTATACAGGAAAACTTAGTGACCTTTGAAAGCAGTAACCATTTTTTTTAATGTATGTAGTGCAGGGCCTCCGGGGTCTCGCTACAAAGATCAGACCTGCAATGATCCTTCCTAGTTTTAGTCTCCCAAGAGCTGTGATTATGGGTGTGTGCCGCCACGCCCAATCTCAATCACCATTTTTGCTCCAGGGGCAGGGCCAGCTTGGCAAGTCTAACCAAAATGTAACGCAATTGTTTCAGTAAAACTAAAACCAGCTCTTTTCTTTTTCTTTTTCTTTTTTTTTTTCTTGAGGTAGAGTCTCCATAGGCTGGCCTTGCACTCACTGTGTAGCCAGGCTGACCTTGAACTTGCAGGGATCCTCCTGCCTCAGCCTCCCAAGTGCTCAGATTGTGGGTACATAGCCATGCCTGGCTCAGACAGAACCTGAAATGTAAAATGCACATCTCTGAAACCATGTCACTTCCCACCTTGATAGCTGTGTTAGTTGATACATTGTGTGGACTTGGCTGAATCAGCTCCTGCAGTTCTCTAGGTGGGGGCCTAGCCCGGCAGGTGGCAGGGCCCAGGAATGGAGAAAGGCTTCCTGGCGCCCTGCCCAACTTCCTGCCGCCCCTCCCTGCTTCCGTGGAAAAGTCTCAGTCTTCCGAGGAGCTTGATCTTCACAGCCACACCACTTTGGAAGAGCTATGATCGCCATGGGGCGCCAGCCTTTGCAGTCAGCGCAGAAGGAAGAGACAGGCTTGATGGACGCCGCTGCAGCCGCTGCTCCTCCTCTGCTCTTCACTGTTTTCTGCCTCATGAACTGCTGTTGTTTGCCTTGCAGCCAGCGGAATATGGACTGAACCCTCCAGTAACTGTGAGCTAAATAAACCTTTCCTTCCTTCATCTTGAGTGTTGGGTATTTGTCCCAGCAACGAGTAAACAGTAACTAAGACAATAACCTTGTCCAAGTGGCGGCCACCATGACTGGCTTTGAGGCTGTTTCCTAGGACCTTACTCTCTGGCTGTGTGGTCGGGAGCCAGGGAGCTGAGGACTGTCGCCACAGCACCTGGCCCACGGGCACTTGTTGCCCATGCACATGGGCAGCAGGAGAGTGGCCCGAGTGGCCATGTGACCAGGGCCAGGCCCGGGCCCCTTGCATGCTCAGCAGCACTGCTGGCAAGGCAGGCTGGGCTCTGGACCTTCACACACCCTCCTGACTTCCTCTGCCTGTGCACACACTCCTCTTGGGCAGAGGCGAGGGGGGGTGTGATATGTGGGCGAGGGTCCTGTTTCTGGCGTGCTCTGGTCGCAGGCCCTCGAGTGTGAGGTGCAGTCGCTGACTGGGCCACGTGCGAGCAACTTTGGTCTGCAGTGTCCTCAGAATGGAGGAGAGTGAGTGAGACAGACAGATAGACAGATAGACAGACAGGCAGAGAGTGTGAGAGCAAGCCCCCAAGCAGCACTCACATCCCCTCCAGGCCTCCGGAGGAAGAACAGCCACCTCCCTGCAGAGGCTGGAAACAGACAACTTGAAGGGTGGCCCAGTCCTCCAGGACTGCCAGGCCACTGTGCCTGCAGGACCGGCCGCGTCAAGTCTCCGTGGGAACATGTGGGTCCCGTGAGAGAGCCCTGTGGAACTGTGCCTGAGCAGCGCGTCTTGAGGGTGCGGGCGAACCATTCCCAGGAGCTCCCGCTGCGTCTGGCTGCAGCACGTTGGGCATAGGCTCCCGTGCACCCTGGGTGACTCTGGGAGCACACTGGAGGTACCTGGGCTCTGCCTGCTGCTTCCTGGGGTGTTGGCTCCTGTAGCCAGCTGTGCTCCAGCACGAGCCCGTGCGGGGGGTTGAAGTCCTGGAGTCCCTGTCCCACTCCACGCAACCCCAGCCCAGCCAGCAGGGCTGTTCGTGAGTTCCCACTGCCCCGCAAAACTCGTACTCTGCAGAGCTGCCGGGCTCCTCAGCAAGGCCAACTCCAGTCACGCGATTGGCAGTCCTTAAAAAAAAAGAATCAAGCTAAAATTCCACGGAAGGCCAGCCAGCACTCAGCCTCTGCAAAGCGTGTGCTTCAGTGCGCTTGTAGTGCATTCCCCCTGCTGCTCGGCCACCTGCCCATCCCAGGATGTTCACCACCCCACCAGTCGCACATGCCCCCGTCCTCACAGCCATGAGCCCACTTCACATCCCCGTGGCCTTCCCCTCTCTGCCTGCATCCTCTGCATGGGACTGCACCGTCATGATCTCGGGGCCTCATCCCCCCAGCATGATGCTTCTGGGTCGCCCGTGTCACCGTGTGCACGAGCGCCCCAGTCTGTCACATTATGACGCTGCTCCCTCCCTCATGTGCAGGCCACTTTCATCGGTGACGGGTGTTGGGGTCGGTTGCACGTTGGGTTGTTACAAGCGGCACTGCCAAGAGCACTTTACGTGAACTCTGTCGTGTGGGCGTCTCCAGGCCTTTGGGTACATGCCTAGAGTGGCCTTGCTGGGTGCTGGGCCTCGCTCTGTGTTTAGCCATTTGAGAAGCCAGCAAACTGCGATTCACAGGAGCTGCACTGTTCACATTTCTATATGAAGTGAAGGAGGGCTCCAGTTTCTCCACATCCTTGTCAACACTTGTCATTATCTGTCTTTATTTTAGCCATCCTGTCACATGCAAAGCAGCACCGCACTGTGGCTCCACCGTTCCTTTCCCCAGTGGCTAACGTCACTAAGCATCAGCCTGGTGCTCACCAGCTGGTGGCAGCCCCTCCTCGGGAACATCTCTTGTCGTCTTGGGCCCATTTTTAATGGGGCTGTGTTTAACTGAGTTGTAAGAGTCCTCAGTCCTCCTGGGCACTAGGTCACAGCACAGACACGGGTTGTGCTTCCACCTGTCCTGCTTTCCTGCTGTCTCCTGTGATGCTCTTCAGCTTTCATTTGGGCCACGGCGTGGTGGCTTCTGAATAGCAGACACCAGAGGTCTGTTTCACTCCTCTGCCGCACTGTCAGGCGTGCACAGAGGCACCTCAGCGCTACAGCGGCAGACCGGCCGTGGGAGAACCAGAATTGGCTTTGAGTGTGTTGTGCGTGGGGAGAGCCTGTTTTTCCCAGAGTTGAATCTTTGCCCTCTTCTACCTCCTGCCGACAATTCGACAATTGCCAGAGGGCGATGCTGCTCAACAATTCCTCCCAAAGTCAAATACACTTTCTTTTTTTAAACATTTATTTATTTATTTATTTATTTAGTGTGTGGCCAGCTCAGCCCACCAGGGGGCGGAGCTGGCTGGCATGTGGTGCTGGGGGATTGAACTGTGGTCTCTGAGCTTTGCTTAGCTTAGCTTGTTCTAAGTAGGTGCTTTAGACCACTGAGCCATCTCACCAGCCCAAATACACTTTCTTCTTCAAGAATGATTAACTTTTTCTGCTCACATGCGGTGAGCTGGATGCAGAAATGGGTCCCTGAAACATGCTGACAACCTTAATAAGCACAAACTGTGTGAGAATATTCCAATTAAAAAAAAAAAGATGGTTAACTTTTTCAGTTCTCGTTTTAGCTTTCAGGAGTCTGGCGTCACCTTTTAGACCCCACAGCAAAAGGCAAACACAGAGTTCAATGTGAGGTTGTTTCAATCGCCTTGTTACAAGGAAACTCGTGGGGAGTTTTCCGAATCACTCCAGGCTGTGGGTGTCGCCATAGCAGGTTCAGCCTCGGCCCTCCCCGTCTGCTCTGCAGACCTCAAAGGACAGGGTCCCGGCAGCGGCAGCTCTGCGCCTTGCCCAGGTCCTCTTTGGTGAAGGGTCAGGGCAGCGGTGAGCCCCACCCCGGGTGGCTGTCCCATAGCAGCTGCGGCTGGGCAAGGGAGAACCGCAGCATGTCGCCCATCTCCAGGGTGGCTTTGTGCGAGCGCACAGGGACTCTGCCACGGGGACGTCACAGCATGCTGCTGTGTAGAGGGAGGTTGACCAGAGGCATTTGCGAGGGACTCGAGGCTCATTCCCAGGCAGCTTGCGGCCCCTCTGAAGCAGACCTGGCAGCATCTGGCCCGTGGGGAGCCTGCATGCAGGAGGGAGGCATCAACACAGCTCCCAGGGAGGCAGAGGGCAACAGACAGGCCACAGGTCGAAAGCCCTGACCCTGGCTTGTGATGGTGCTGGGACTCTCCCCTCAGGGGGCTCTCTCCACAGGGGCAAGGCTGTGGGGTCGGATGGGGAGACTGAGGCAGGCGACGAGCAGGTATGGCCCCCAGGGTTCCCAAGGCTTTAACGCTCAGAAGGGGTTAAGTCATTCTTGAGCAGTTTATCGCTCATCAATTGTAATTAAATATGTTTATATTAAATTATGCTCCACAATGAATGCAAACCCTGCAGCCCGCGCAGTGATTGGAGCCAGATGCCGAGGCACCAGCCCGCTTCCCCAGGCCCGGCCGCCCCGCCAGCTGTCTAACTGTAATTACTTTAATCTCAGCTTGTTACCCAATTATCACCTTTGTAAAGGGAAAAGTGCTCTGGATGCTGACGGTTTGTGGGGAGACGAGGGTGAGCAGAAACAGCTGTCAGAGCGGCAGCGGCCCTGCTTTTCATAGTGCAAGAATTGGGATGCACCCCGCGCATGGGAGCCTGAGGGCGTGGAGCAGCCAGGGGACAGACAGCCACACCAAGAAGGCCCACTGGGCCCGCCCATCCCAGAGATTGTGCCATCCCGGCTTCTGAACATTGCATGAGATGCCACTCGGGGAGCTCGCAGCCTGCAGCGGCCATGTGCACAGTGTGGAGAGAGGCATCCGTGCTCCCTGCCACGAGGAGCCAGCCTGGGCTTCCTCCACTTCTGCGTTCGCCTCCAAGGCCTCAGCTGGCCAGCCACAGCAAGGCCTCGGGGCCAGCCACTTGGCTTCTTGTGCTGGTTTTCCAAGTTGTGTTTGAATTCTGCCTTTCTGGGGCTGGAGTTTTCCTTTGCTTGTTCTGCAAAAGGTCTCGGCAAGCCAGCCAGGAGCATAAGTAAGCCCTGCTGGGGCGAGCAAGCCCAGCCCATCCCCTGGCCTCCTGCACCAGTGTTCCTGCTGGCCGCTGCTGTGGAGAACAACCCCTGCCTCCACAGGCAGGCAGCTCCTCGGAGCCTGGAAAGCGACTGGCATCCTCTCTCTGACGTCACCTGCACCCAGGCCTGGTGCCAGCAGTCTGGTGTGCAGTAGGCAGAGGCTGCACAGCCCAGAGAGCCCGACCCTGGAGAGGCAGGGCTGGGGGGAAGACCAAGCCGGGGTCGTGAGCCCCACAGAGAGGCTGGGCTCCTGAGACAAGGTCTCAGAGAGGACAGGAGTGCCCACCTGCAGGGCCCGAGGAGTCAGAACGGGCGCTTGGGCCAGGCTCTGACTCAGCCCCTGGAGCAGCGGCGCCACTCTGGCTTCGGGATTTTCAGGTAATTCTAAAACTGATTACAAGCACCTGTGTCGGGCACGCTCCTCAAGGTGATGTTGCAGAGAGCCTGGGCAATCAGGGCACCATAGACTTTGTCACCAGGTAGACCGAAGCCGGCGCTGTGTGCCCAGGGCTCGACGACCTGCCAGCCGAGCAGGAAGAGGAGTGCCCCATACCTTCCTGCACCGCAGCCGCAGGAGCCGTGGGCAGCACAAGCCGCGCTGCGTCTCTCAAGCAGAGGGAGTGAATGCTGGGTTGGTGACAGGACTTAGAGGAGCCACATGCAGGTAGAGCGGCTGCGCTTCCCCGGGGGCTGGGGAGCAGCACGGCGGGGGAGCGGTGACCAAGCCCAGCGCTGTGTGCCACGGAAGCCTAGCTGGTGCTGGGGCTCCGAGGAAGCTGAGCCAGCCTGGGGCCAGGATGGAGGGCGAGGCTCTGAGCCCCGCGGCTGGTAGCAGACAGGGCTGGGGGTACCCTTCCTCCTTCCTTGCCTTTGCCCTCTGCATGTCCCCTGTGCTCCAGGGCTGGCACCAAGGCAGATGCCAGTAGCAAGTCCCAGGGCCTCGAAGGAGAGTCCAGGCTCAGGCCGGCAGGCTGGGCCCGAGCAGGCTGGCACCCTTCCCCTGATCCTAGGCTCTGTCCCTGGTCCTGCAGGAGGAAGGGCCAGGAGTAAGCCTTGCCTGGCTGAACCAGGGACCTGTGACCAGCCGGCCCCGCCCCACGGCCCACACTGCAGCCCCACCTGCTTAGGAGCCGCTCCCACCACCGGAAAGCAAAGCTCAGGTCTGCGTCTCATTTTCATTTGGTGGCAACAAAGAGATAAGTAACAGCAAGCATGAAGCCAGGCGTGTTGGCAGCCGGCTGTAACCCCCCACGACAGGCTGCAGCAGGGGGACAGCTGTGGGCTCAAGGACAGCCTGGGCCACATAGAGGGCCTGCTTAACAAAACAATAGATGAATGAATGAATGAATGAATGAATGAATGAATGAATGAATGAACGAATGAACTCTGGCCCCCTTGGTTTTACCTGCAGAAAGCAGCACTGCACAGCAGTTAACGCTAGCTGGTGTCACACAGCTCTTTCCTGCTCTGTCACTGGTTGTGTGACCCTGGCTATGTTTCCTATCCCTGCCTCAGTTTCCTCATTTGTTTAAGAGACCGTCTAAGAGTCTTCCCCATGAGCCCAAAGTGGAGCCATGTCTGAGAGCCCTTTACGGTTCCCACACACAGTTGCCAAACAGAGGAGGACGGCCGTTCTGTAATTCCCATGGC